CAAACACCATCTGGCGACGTCCCTTGTTGGCACTTTGAATGTATTGAAGGGTACGTTTCTCAATATTAGCTCTAGCTTTGGTATGCAAATCCCGCACAATCTCAGCCTTTTTCTTACCATCTAGGTTAACTCTCTCAGAAATAGGTAAAGGAGACAAGTCTAAAGGTGTGAGAGGGTTAAATCCATAAACAATTTCAAAAGGTGAAAATTGAGTAGAAGTATGCACAGTGCGATTATATGCAAATTCAACATGAGGCAAGCAATCTTCCCAAGATTTAATGTTCTTTTTAATAATTGCTCGCAACAATGTAGATAAAGTCCGATTAACCACTTCAGTTTGTCCATCAGTTTGTGGGTGACTAGAAGTAGAAAAAAGCAATTTAGTCCCTAGTTTACACCACAAAGTTTTCCAAAAGTAGCTAAGGAACCTTACATCCCTATCAGAAACAATGGTACGAGGTACCCCATGTAAACGCACTATGTCTCTAAAGAATAAATCAGCCACATGTTTAGCATCATCAGTTTTATGGCAAGGAATGAAGTGAGCCATCTTTGAGAAACGATCAACTACCACATAAATGGAATCATGCCCTTGTCTAGTTCTAGGTAATCCAAGGACAAAGTCCATAGACAAATCTACCCAAGGTTCATGTGGGATGGGTAAAGGAGTGTAGAGTCCATAAGGATGTACCTTTGATTTTGCTTGGTGACAAGTGACACACCTTTGTGTATGCCTCTCGACGTCCCTCTTCATGCGAGGCCAGTAGAAATGCTCTTGGAGAATTGACAAGGTCTTGGCCACCCCAAAATGTCCCATGAGGCCTCCACCATGAGCCTTTCTAACCAGCAAAAGTCGCATGGAGCACAGGGGAATACATAGTTTACCTTTGTAGTATAAGAACCCCTGCGACATAGAATAATGCTCACGAGTAACTCGTGGCAAGGTTGTGAAAATCTCACCAAAGTCTAGGTCAGCTGCATATAAATCCTTAATGAATTCAAAGCCAAGCAACTTAGTGTCTAGTGTAGTGATTAGTGTATACCTTCTAGAAAGTGCATCAGCCACTACATTAGTCTTTCCAACCTTATATTTGATGACAAACACAAAACTATCAATGAAAGCCACCCACCTCGCATGCCTTTTGCTCAATTTGGTTTGTGATTTGATGTGTTTGAGCAATTCATGATCAGTGTGGAGTACGAATTCCCGAGGTCTGAGGTAGTGTTGCCAAGTTTGGAGAGCTCGCACCAAGGCCATCAATTCTTTGTCATAAGTAGAGTAGTTCAACGAGGCACCAGTCAACTTCTCACTAAAGTAGGCCACTGGTTTCCCCTCTTGAATGAGCACAGCTCCAATACCTATACCAGAAGCATCACACTCTACTTCAAAAGCCTTGTCAAAATTAGGTAAACTTAATACAGGTGCATGTGTGAGCTTGTGTTTAAGTAATTGGAAAGACTTAGCTTGTTCTTCTTCCCATTGGAATGGCACATTTTTCTTGATAATGGCTGTAAGTGGGGCAGCAATGGTGCTAAAATCCTTGACAAAGCGTCTATAGAAGCTTGCCAAGCCATGGAAACTCCTTACCTCACTTACACTGGTTGGTATTGGCCATTCATTTATGGCCTTCACCTTTTCTTGGTCAACTCGTATTCCCTGGTCACTCACAACATAACCTAGGAAGACAAGTTGATTAGTGCAAAAAGTACACTTCTTAAGGTTAGCATAGAGGCTCGCCTTTCGAAGTGCATCTAAGACCATTCGTACATGCACAACATGCTCTTCTGTACTCTTACTATAGATCAATATGTCATCAAAGTAGACTACCACAAATTTACCAATAAAAGAACGCAAAACATGGTTCATTAACCTCATGAAGGTACTAGGTGCATTAGTTAAGCCAAAAGGCATGACCAACCACTCATACATACCATGTTTTGTGATGTGTGCATGAACCAGGGCCCAGCCCAAGTTCCATTGGGCCCAGTCACACGTGCACGGGCCAAGCTCTTCAAAGAATCCCTCCAAGCCCTTGTTCGAGCCATCCACGAACAACATGGAAGCCATAGAGCTATTGAAGGCTTGGAAAGAGACAACCAAACAACTTACACCTTGGTCCAAGCCCATGAGGGCTCTAGCAGGCCTCCTTACGAGTCGGCCGAGTAGGGCCTTAGTTATTGTTATTCATTAATTAGACTAGTGTTTTAGTAGAAGGCATGGGCCGGCCCATCTTGAAGACAAGATAGCCGACTCCACTTTAGGGCTTAGTTAGGGTTTTTTCGTTGGTTCCTTAGCCTATAAATAGGCTAACATTGTAAGGTTAAAGATAGTTTTTGATGATATTAAATTCCTAGTGTTTTCGTTTTCTCTCTAGAATTCGAAGCTTTACTTGCGTTGGCAAGGGTTATTGAGCAATCTCGCGTCCTGTCCTTGATTGTTCATCCGGCCTATTCCCCTGGAGTAACCACCTTCATCGGAGTGTCGTCTACCGCTTAGAATCAAATCGTGACGTCCGTTTGATTCCAAGTCCCGCTATCCAAACGTGGACAACCTCGCTAGATCCTTGGGCAAACGTGCTACGTATCTCGACGTGGATCGAGGAACGTATCAGTTGGCTTCAGAGCTTTGGTGGAGGTATCTTCCGTTATATCCGTAGTTGTGTCTTAATTGCATTATTTCCGCTGCCTTGTTTTTTAAAAAAAAAAAAAAAAATTCTGTTCGTTATTTGTTGCGTTGTAGTGCTGTGTCCTTTTTCTTTCGTTGTCAAGATTCTGGTCGTTACTCTTGTGTCCGTTTGTGTCTTCAAGTCTGTCCGTTGCTGCTTTGATTAGTCAAAAAAAAAATTCTGACCGTAGTTTTGTCCTTGTCGCGTCAAAATTTCTGGTCAAGTCACATGTCTTGTTGCTAGTTCTAACCTGCTCAGATTTTTGCACTCTTGTGGTAACCATTCTGTTCAGCAATTGATCTTAGCCGAAACTGAAAAAAAAAAAAAAAAAAGAAGAAAGCAGCAAGTTGCGGCTAGGGTTTCTTCCAAGTTGCGGCTAGGGTTTTGTTTAGGTTCTTGAATCTGACCAAGTTTTATTTGTTTAACCAAGTCGTTTACTTAACTTGCCTAAACTGATTTGAGGACCAAATTTGTTGGGGTTGTGAATCTTGAAGAAAATCTACGAGAGTTTTAGGTTTCTTGAGTTTCTTGAATTTAATCTTGAGGTTCTTGGAAGTTCTTGATTAGATCTTGGAGTTTGGGGGCTGTTGGTTGTAGTAAGTTAAGGCTTGTCCAGAATCTGGTTGTGATCCTTTTCGGCCAGGTTTAGTTTCATTGAAAAAAAAAAGAGAAAAAAAAAAAAAAACAAGAAACGCAAGAAGCACAAGAACACGCAAATCGGGTAGCAAGGAAAACGAATTTTGTGTCCACGATTAGTTGTTGTTTACATCGTGCTTGTGCCAAAACAGAAAATTCGAACAAGAGGAAAAAAAAAAAAAAAAAGAGAGAACGTGGTTTACCCATTCTCGTTCCTACCAAAACAGAAAATTGCACCTAGAATTCAAAAGTTTTGGCCTACCTCTTCTTGAAATTCTTGATCACCTTGAGACTTGATCACTTGCACAACCTTCCTTAGAGGTTCTTGATTATCTTGGGTTTTGAAGAGTTGCACTTCCCGTCGTACAAAGAGGTTCTTGTATGATCTTGCATCCATACGTGGGTTTCTTGGTTTAGGCGTGTACTTCTTGGGAGTTTCTTGAGCAAGACGCTTGGGGGATCCTTGAGTGACATTGCTTGTGTCTTCTTGGGAAGCCATTGAAGCCGAATTGCTTGAGGACCAACGAACCAAATCTGTCTTGGAGGGGAGGGCCGAATTGTTGTGTTTGAGAGTAGAGGAAGAGCCGAACTTCTTGGAAGAAGTGTGCGGCTGTGAGGGAGGTTTAATAGGGAGCAGTAGCCGACCTTGGGAAGGGTTCAAGAAGGAGGAATTCTGGAAATTTTAGGGCCCAAATCTGGTTGGTGTTCTGAGTAAAGTGTGCGGCTGCTAAGAGGGTTTATAGGGGCTTAGTAACCGACCTTGGGAAGGAATTAGGAGGGAAATTTCTGGAAGCTTGCGGGTAAGAGAGAGGAGGGACCGAATCTGTTTTGAGAAAATTTAAGAAGTTGCTGAAGCAAGGTCACCAAAGGAAGATTCCAACTCCAACTTGTGTCTCAACTTAGTTTAGGACACTAAGTGCACCCCTTGGATAACACTTGAACACGTTCCTACCTTTTCTCCTCATCTTTGGGATATTCTCTTATATTCTATCATCCACTCTAGGAAACCACTCTCACATCGTAGGAGTCTTACAGTTTCCTTTCTTGGCATTAATTCCAAGTTGTCCGCCGCCCCTACACCTTCCAAAACCGTCCATTCCATTCACCACGACTTCTTCCACTTGTGTATTTTACTCTTATTACTCTTGGGGGGAAAAGTTGGTGACGACTCTTGGACTCGAGCAACATTTCTCAACTACCTCAACCAACAGGTAAAGGTGTTTGGTAAGTATCATAGAGTGATATTGAGCACTCCGCACAAGTGTGAGGGAAACACTAAGGGAGTGAAGTAAGGATTACACTTGCTTTTTCTTTGCTTGTTACTAACCTTTTTTGCAGGACATCAAGAGAGAGATGGAGCAACAACAATCCACTGCCGACCACTCATTGTTGTTCGCCGCGATGAAAAATGAACTTAGGCGAATCAGTGAGCAACAAATGGAGACGTTACACACTCGCTTTGACGAGTTGTCCAGGAGTCTTACACGAGGCTCCCGTTCTAGATCCCACACCCGGAGTCAACACGGCACCAAGGAGGTCAATGGTGAAGACTACTCCGCCAGTGAGGATGAAGATCGACTCGAGAGGCATACAAGGGACACGCCCAAGAACGAAATCAAGGGGCTTAAGATCCAAGTACCCGCATTCAAAGGCAAAAGTGACCCTGAGGCTTACTTGGAGTGGGAAGGCCGTATCGAGATGGTCTTCGATTGCTACGACTACAATGCGGAACAAAAGGTCAAAATTGCCACTGTGGAGTTCACCGACTACGCACTAGTTTGGTGGGACCAAGTACGGACCCACAGGAGAAGGATGGGAGAACCACGAGTCCGGACGTGGCGAGAACTCAAGGCCTTGATGCGCAAGCGGTTTGTTCCTAGTTACTACAATCGCGATCTCCACTCAAAACTTCAAACGCTCACGCAAGGCAATATGAGTGTGGAAGATTATTACAAAGAAATTGAAATGGCCATGATGAGGGCCAACATCCAAGAAGATAATGAGGCCACAATGGCTAGGTTTCTTAGAGGTCTCAATCCAGACCTTCAAGACGCCTTGGAGCTACAACATTACTTGGACATGCACGACCTTCTGGAACTCGCCATTAAGGCCGAGCGGGGGAAGAAGTTAAGACGAGGGGCACGTTTCTTCCCATCTTCTAACACCTCTTCATGGAGGGGCAACCAACCACGAAGAGCGACCCACGAAGCTGGAAGTGTGACAACACCAACTTCTTCTAACCGAATTCAAGGTAACACCTCTTCCCGCAATGCCTATTCTACCCCTAACAAGGTTGCGGAGGCATCCAGGACCACTTCCAGGGCACCACCAGAGACTCCGAAAGCTAGGAGTAGGGACATCAAATGCTTTAAGTGCCAAGGGTTTGGGCACATCCAATCTCAATGTCCAAACCAACGGGTCATGCTAATAGCCCACAATGGCGAAATCGTGTCCGATGATGACGACTGCGAGGAGGTACCCGACTTGACCACTGGCAACCACCTGGATGACGACTCTGTTGAGGAAGATTGTTCGCCCACCCAAGGGGAGATAGGGTGTTTGGTAGCACGACGAGTGCTCACCGCCCGGGTTAAGGAGGATGAGCAACTACAACGGGAGAATCTATTCTACACCCGTTGCAAGGTAGGCGACAAGGTGTGCAGCCTCATCATCGACGGTGGGAGTTGCACCAACGTGGCAAGCTTACTCATGGTTGAAAGCTTAGGCCTTCCAACCACTAGACACCCACACCCTTACCGCCTCCAATGGTTAAGCGAGGAAGGAGAGGTACGTGTCTTCAAACAGGTACGCATTCCTTTCTCCATTGGTACTTACACCGATGACATTGTTTGTGACGTCGTGCCTATGCATGCCACCCACATTATCTTGGGGCGACCCTGGCAATTTGACAAACACGTCACATTCGACGGAAGGGCCAACAAGTACACCCTTTTGCATGATGGCAAACGTAAGGTCCTCACACCACTCACACCTGCACAAGTGTATGAGGACCAACTCAAGCTGCAAAGAGAGTGTGAACAAGACCGTCAACAAAGGAAACAAAAGGCGGTTGACCCTGGGAAAGGTTCTAATCTTGCAAGTGAGTCATCCACCAAGGGTCAAGCAAGCACTCCTAGTGTCACGCCTGCGAAACCACCCACTGCACCTTCCACTAGGAAGCACAACATGATCATTAAGGCCAAGGATGTTAGGAAAGCTATCAATTCTGATCAGCCGGTCCTACTCATGATTTGCAAGCATGTACTCTTAGATGTTGCTGAACTCGACAAGGTATTGCCCGCATGTATGGTCACTCTGTTGCAAGAATTCGATGACGTGTTTCCCGACGAAGTCCCTGATGGGTTACCACCCATTCGAGGAATCGAGCACCAAATCGACCTCATCCCTGGAGCACCATTACCCAACAAACCTGCCTACCGCATGGGTCCTGACGAGACCAAGGAGCTTCAAAGGCAAGTAGACGGCCTTCTAGGCAAGGGTTGGGTGAAGGAGAGTCTGAGCCCGTGCGCTGTGCCCGTGATCCTTGTCCCCAAAAAAGACGGCACTTGGCGCATGTGCACCGACTGTCGGGCTGTGAATGCCATCACTGTCAAATATCGGCATCCCATCCCTCGACTTGATGATATGCTGGACGAACTCGACGGTGCCATTATTTTCACCAAAATTGACTTGAGGAGTGGCTATCATCAAATCCGAATGAAGGAAGGCGATGAGTGGAAGACGGCCTTCAAAACCAAACATGGTCTCTATGAGTGGCTAGTCATGCCTTTTGGCTTGACCAATGCCCCTAGCACCTTTATGCGCCTCATGAACCATGTCTTGAGACACTTCATTGGTAAATTCGTCATTGTTTACTTTGATGACATCTTGATATATAGTCGTAGTGAGCAAGAGCACTTGGAGCATGTACGACTAGTTCTTGAGACGCTTCGCCAAGCACAACTCTACGCTAACCTCAAGAAATGTACTTTTTGTACTAATGAACTTGTGTTTCTTGGCTATGTGGTAAGTTCGCAGGGCATCAAGGTAGACAAGACCAAGATTGAGGCCATCGAGCAATGGCCCACCCCTACATCCGTCTCGGACGTACGCAGTTTCCTGGGATTGGCAGGCTTTTACAGGCGATTTGTCAAAAATTTCAGCACTCTGGCCGCCCCGTTGACTGCCGTGACAAAGAAATATGACACATTCCACTGGGGAGAATCCCAAGAACAGGCGTTTCTCGCCCTCAAGGACACCCTTACACATGCACCTGTGTTAGCATTACCAAACTTTAACCAAACTTTTGAAATTGAATGTGATGCTTCTGGTGTAGGTATTGGAGCGGTCCTCATGCAAGACAAGCGGCCTTGTGCCTTCTTTAGCGAGAAATTGGGAGGAGCTGCTCTAAACTACCCCACGTACGACAAGGAGTTGTACGCGCTAGTGAGGGCCTTGGAGACCTGGCAACACTATCTACGTCCTCGGGAGTTCGTGATACACACTGACCACGAGTCGTTGAAGTACCTCAAAGGCCAACCCAAGCTAAGCAAGAGACATGCCAAATGGGTAAGCTTCATCGATACTTTCTCCTATGTGATTAAATACAAGACTGGCAAGACGAATGTCGTGGCTGACGCCTTGTCACGTCGTCACTCCTTGCTTGCCTGTCTTGATGCCAAGTTGCTTGGTTTCGAATTGGTTAAGGACCTCTACACTAATGATTGTGACTTTGGTGCTATCTATGCTGTTTGTATTAAGAATCCCCAAGGGAAGTACTTTGTTCATGATGGATTTCTATTCCATATAAATAAGCTGTGTGTGCCTAACTCTTCCATTCGTGATCTGTTGATTCGAGAGGCACATAGTGGGGGTCTAATGGGCCACTTTGGCATTGCCAAAACCCTGGCTATGTTACAAGAGCACTTTTACTGGCCCCATATGCGAAGGGATGTTGAACGCATGGTCGGTAGGTGTGCTACTTGTCACAAGGCAAAATCCAAAACAAATCCATATGGCTTGTACACCCCATTACCTATCCCTCACCATCCCTGGGTTGACTTGTCCATGGATTTTGTGCTCGGTTTGCCTCGATCCCCAAGAGGTAATGACTCTATATTTGTGGTGGTTGATAGGTTCTCTAAGATGGCTCATTTTATTCCATGTCACAAAACTGATGATGCATCTCATGTTGCTACTCTATTCTTCAAAGAAATTGTTCGTTTGCATGGTATGCCTAGAACCATTGTTAGTGATCGAGATGTAAAATTTTTGAGCTACTTTTGGAAGACTCTGTGGTCTAAACTTGGCACCAGACTACTATTTTCCACCACCAGTCACCCCCAAAGCGATGGACAAACTGAAGTTGTCAATCGCACTCTTGGCACACTCCTTCGGGCTTTGATTAAAAAGAATCTTAAGACTTGGGAGGAATGTTTGCCTCATGTTGAATTCGCCTACAATAGAGTTGTTCACAGTGCTACACACTACTCACCTTTTGAGGTTGTTTATGGCTTTAACCCGCTGACCCCTCTTGATTTAGTCCCATTACCTTCCTCTGAGCACACAAGCTTAGATGGGAAAAAAAAGGCAGATTTTGTGCGCAGGTTACATGAAGCCGTCCGAGCAAACATTGAAAGGCGTACTCAACAATACACCCAGCAGGCTAACAAACACCGCCGCAAAATGATTTTCGAGCCTGGTGATTGGGTTTGGTTACACTTGCGCAAGGAGAGATTCCCCAAGCAGAGACAAAGCAAGCTGTCCCCCCGGGGAGATGGACCCTTCCGTGTGCTCCATCGAGTTAATGACAACGCATACAAATTGGAGCTACCTGGGGAGTACAATGTTAGCGCGACCTTCAACGTCGCGGACCTGAGCCCATTTCTTGACGAGGAGGATCCAGATTTGAGGACAAATCCTTCTCAAGTGGAGGGGACTGATGTGTGCATGAACCAGGGCCCAGCCCAAGTTCCATTGGGCCCAGTCACACGTGCACGGGCCAAGCTCTTCAAAGAATCCCTCCAAACCCTTGTTCGAGCCATCCACGAACAACATGGAAGCCATAGAGCTATTGAAGGCTTGGAAAGAGACAACCAAACAACTTACACCTTGGTCCAAGCCCATGAGGGCTCTAGCAGGCCTCCTTACGAGTCGGCCGAGTAGGGCCTTAGTTATTGTTATTCATTAATTAGACTAGTGTTTTAGTAGAAGGCATGGGCCGGCCCATCTTGAAGACAAGATAGCCGACTCCACTTTAGGGCTTAGTTAGGGTTTTTTCGTTGGTTCCTTAGCCTATAAATAGGCTAACATTGTAAGGTTAAAGATAGTTTTTGATGATATTAAATTCCTAGTGTTTTCGTTTTCTCTCTAGAATTCGAAGCTTTACTTGCGTTGGCAAGGGTTATTGAGCAATCTCGCGTCCTGTCCTTGATTGTTCATCCGGCCTATTCCCCTGGAGTAACCACCTTCATCGGAGTGTCGTCTACCGCTTAGAATCAAATCGTGACGTCCGTTTGATTCCAAGTCCCGCTATCCAAACGTGGACAACCTCGCTAGATCCTTGGGCAAACGTGCTACGTATCTCGACGTGGATCGAGGAACGTATCATTTTGTTTTAAATGCTGTTTTCCACTCATCCCCTTCTTTCATGCGTATTTGGTGATAACCACTCTTCAAGTCAATCTTAGTAAATATAATAGCACCATGTAACTCATCAAGCATGTCATCTAATCGAGGTATGGGATGGCGATACTTTACCGTTATGGCATTTATGGCTCTACAATCGGTGCACATCCTCCATCCTCCATCTTTCTTTGGCACAAGTAGGACAGGTACAGCACAAGGACTTAGACTCTCTTGAATCCAGCCCTTACCAAGCAAGTCCTCTACTTGCCTTTGTTGCTCCTTAGTTTCCTCCGGATTAGTCCTATATGGTGCCTTATTAGGAAGGGAAGAGCCAGGAATGAAATCAATTTGATGTTCTATTCCCCTCAAAGGTGGCAACCCATTAGGTATATCCTCAGGAAATACATCTTGGTACTCCTGTAAAAGGTTAGCAATAGCACTAGGCAAAGAAGCACCAAGTTCATTAGTTAGCAAAGACTCTTTACAAAACAAGATAAGCAAAATCTGGTTAGAGTGCAAAGCCTTTCGCACATCTCTAGTTCTAGCAAGCATGATGGATTTTCTCTCCTTTTTTCCTTCAATGGCCGAATGTGAAGTGTCAATTTTATGAGAAGATGGTTCGGCCATTTTGCTCTTTGTATCATGCAAATTTTCTTTTTTATTGTCACAATGCATGTCATATTCCTTTTGCAACCCAATTTGGTCCTCATGCACTTGTTGAGGTGTAAGAGGTGCAAGTGTGATCTTTTTAGTATTATGCACAAAGGAATACTTATTCAAGAATCCATCAAAAATGACCCTTTTATCAAATTGCCATGGCCGTCCCAAAATAATATGAGTAGCTTGCATAGGCACAACATCACATAAAACATCATCGTTATATCTACCAATGGCAAAATTAATTAAAACTTGCTTATGAACACGTACCTCACCACTATTATTCAGCCATTGTAGTTTGTAAGGTCGGGGGTGATCACTTGTTGGCAAGTTCAATCGTTCCACCATGAGTGCACTAGCAACATTGGTACAGCTCCCTGGGTCAATTACCAAGCTACAAAGCTTGTCCATCACATGGCACCTTGAGTAAAATATGTTCTCTCGTTGAAGGTCATCTCTACTAGCTTGAGTAGTTAGAGCTCGCCTTGCAACCATACCAACTTTACCATGAGCTGGTATCTCCTCAAATTCCTCATCTTCCTCAACCAAGGGAGGCATGTCCTCACACTCATCCTCCTCATCCGTTCGTACTTCCCCATTTGGTAGCATAAGCATAACCCTTTGATTTGGGCATTGGGAAGCAATATGTCCAAACCCTTGACACTTAAAACACTTAGTGTCTCGGTATCGAACTTTGCTTACCTCATGAGTAGGCCTACCATCGCCCCTTGAGGGTTGTTTTGAGGAAGGTGCATTCGGCCTTAGTGACTCCTTGGTTGTCCCACCTTGTTTGACCAAGGGGAATGCACTAGAGGGGTTGACTTCCCTCTTGAAGGGTTGGCTTCTCCAATTTCCAGCTTGGAAGTTGGGATTTTGTCGAATTGGACCCCTCCTCTTGAGCCTCCTTTCAATCTTAATAGCCTTGTCTAGCATATCATGGAGGTCCACATAATGGTGCATCTCCACTTGATCCGCTATTTCAGGCCTCAATCCACTTAAAAATCGTGCCATAGTAGCTTCCCGGTCCTCGACAATGTCGGCCCTTAACATGGCTATCTCCATCTCCTTATGATAGTCCTCCACGCTTTTGCCTCCTTGTGTTAAATTTTGAAGTTTGAGGTACAAGTCACGGTGGTAGTGACTAGGAACAAAGCGTTTCTTCATGACACCCCTCAATTCGGTCCATGTAGTGATAGGGTATTCACCACTTCGCCTTCTACTAGTAGTGATTTGATCCCACCACACTATGGCGTAGTCGGTGAATTGCATGACTGCAAGTCTCATTTGCTGCTCTTCAGTGTAACCATTGCAATCAAAGATCAACTCCACTCGTTTCTCCCATTCCAAATAGACATCGGGGTCGGATTTGCCTTGGAAAGTAGGCAATTGCATTTTAACGCCTTTGATTGGATCCACACCAGCTTTACGGTGTTTATTCTTCCATGTCCTCGACCCATATTCCTCCTCGGAGTTGGAACTTTCATAGTCACGGGTTGGTGCTTGGTGTCTCCGGGACTTAGAATTGGTTTGGGAGTGTTCGAGACTATCCATCCTCTCATGCAATGGTTCTAATTCCTGTTTCATTAGCTTGAGCAATTTATCAGTCATAGCTTCCATCACAAGTTTAATATCAAAAGGAGTAGTTTCCTTCCC